CGAAGAGCTGACGGAAGTACTCGTACAGCAAGCGAGGCGCCTGAGTACAAACAAGCCAGAGGGGCATCGTTACCCATGGAGCCAAGGGCCTCCTTCTCATCGGAGGCCATGGGAGCCAGCAGGAGGCTCACCTGTTCGTGGGTGAAGCCGAAAGCCAGAAGGAGCGGGTCCTGCTGAAGCAGGGTGTCGTCGGGCTTGGCAGCGAGGTCGAAAGAGCTTTCGAGCTTCTCCTGAACCTTGGACATGGTCAGGAGGTTGTTGTCGAGCCACGAACGGAAGTCGTGACGGCTGGAAACAGCCTCCTTGAGCTCCTTGTCATCGATGATGCGGCCAGCGACGGTGTCGACGAGCAGCATCTTACCAGGCTGGAGACGGCCCTTCTGGATGACGGTCTCAGGCTCGACGGGAATGGTACCGACCTCAGACGCGCAAATGATGCGGTCGTCATCCATGACGTAGAAACGGCAAGGGCGAAGACCGTTACGGTCGAGGTTGGCACCGCAGAAACGACCGTCGGCAAAGGTGAACAGAGCGGGACCGTCCCAGGGCTCCATCTGACACGCAGCCCACTCGTAGAACGCGGCCTTGGTGGCGTCCATCTGCGTGTTGCCCTGCCAAGCCTCGGGGACCATCAGCATGACGGCCTCGGGCAGCGACAGCACGCCGTTGATGGTCAGCAGCTCGAGGACGTTGTCAAAGGCTGCCGAGTCGGAACCGCCGTCCTCAACAATGGGGTACAGCTTCTCGAGCTCGTCCTTGAAGACATCGGACTGCATGACGCCCTCACGAGCCCTCATCCAGTTCTTGTTGCCACGAAGGGTGTTGATTTCACCATTGTGGGCGGCCCATCGAAGAGGCTGGGCACGATCCCACGAGGGGAACGTGTTGGTGGAGAAACGAGAGTGCACCAGGGCAAAGTGACCCTCGTAGTCGGCGTTGACCAGGTCGTGGTAGTATTGGTAGACCTGGACGGGCGCCAGCTGTCCCTTGTAAACAATGTTCTTGTTCGACAGGGAGCAGAGGTAGAACCAGTTGTGCAGGCCAATGGTGTGGGTGGCACGCTTCCTCAGAATGAAGAGCTGGATCTCGAAGTGGCGGTCGTCGAACTTCTCGGGATCGGTGATTTCGGGCTCGACGCCAGTGCCGTAGGCAGAGGCAAGGACGACAAAGGGCTGGAGGATGATAGGCTCGCGGGACCTGGCAGCGGGACCGAGTAGGGTCGAGTCCACGGGAGGCCTTCGCCATCCCAGGACTCGCAGACCCAACGATTCAGCAATGTCTTCG